GAGGAGAAGGAGGAGGAGGAGGAGAGGAGAGAGAAAGAGGGTAGGAGAAGCAAGGGAGGAGAAGGAAGGGATGATGATGATGATGATGATGATGATGATGGAGGAGGAGAGGAGGAGGAGGAGGAGGAGGAGGAGGAGGAGAAGGATGATGAGGAGGAGCGCACGTCACATGATGATGCTGCTGATGATGATGCGTAGGTGGAGGAGGAGGAGGTCGAGGAGGATGAAGATCGAGACTTTGTTGGGGGCGCTTCTGGGCCTGTTTGGGCCACGCTTGTCTGCACATCAAAGTCCTGGGCAGAACGCGCTCCAAGAGCGGTCTGGCTTCGGGTGCGGGTGGACGGGCCCCAATCCCACTTCGATCGGGGGGGTGGGGGACGAGCCGAACCCCGTCCGGCCTGCCACTTTCCTCCCTCCTTCTCATCCTCCTCCTCGTCCTCCTCCTCCATCCTCATCCTTCTCCTCCACCTCCTCCTCCTCGTTCTTCTCCTCCTCCACCTCCTCCTCCGCCGCTTCTCCTTACGACTAACTCTTCCCTGTCGCACCCCCAGATGTGTCGGCAGGGCAGGCCGAGCGTTACGCCTAAGACTTCCTCACCATTGGAAATTCTGAAGCTTGAACGTTGCAGCCATTTCGAAAATGGATGGGGGGTAGTTTTCAACCTGGGGCTCTCGCATCAAGGCCGCGCCCATTCGCCTTCAATTTTGGCAACAATCGCAAGGATGGAAGGGAGGCCGCTGGCCAATTGGGGCCCTCGCCTCAGCGCGCGTATATTCGTCTTAAACGTCTGCAGCAACTTCAAAAGAGGGTGGCTTCTTCGCAAACGCGGGCCCCTCGCCCTGAGCCTGTCACACTCGTCTTGCAAGCTTGCAGCAATGTCGAGGATAGATGGTGGTTCCTTCTCAAGATAGGGCCATCGCTCAGCGCTGCACTCATTAGTCTTGCAAATTTGCTCCAGTTTTTTTTTTTTTTTTTTTTGTGTGTGTGTGTGTTTTTGTTTTTTTTTCAAAGCGGGGCCTTCGCTTGCGGCTTCTTGGCGGTTCGAGGCCGGCAGCGTGTAACCATGTACAACAGCTGCACGGACGGAGGCTCGCTCCTCGTCCAGCCGGGGCCTTCTTCGTCTTGGGGCCTCTTTGAGTTCGAACGCCAGGCGCCTGAGCATATAGTACAGTCGCGCAGGTCGCGGATGGTTCCTTTTCAAGTGGGACTGTCGCTTGAAACTTCTCGAATCGCTGCAGGACAAAGACCTGCCCCAAGGTGGACTCGCCGGGGGCCAAAACGCAGCCCGCGCCGTCGAGCTGCTCCGCCATCGCCGCCGCTCCGAGGGCCAAAGCGCGGCGGGCCCCTTCCCGAAGTCAAATGCAAGCTTGTGCATGCCTTTCACAAGTGGAGGCGGTCCTTTCTCAAGACGGGGATCTCGCTGAACACCTCGTTGAACTGTGTGGTCATACTGCTGCGCATGCCTTGTTTCTCGCTGAAGGGATGCAGGGCAATTCCATCTCACAAAGGGGGGCCTCGCTTGAATGATAGGCCCACAGGGGGCTGGTCTTTCAGGGGTGCGCTCTTTTGGTGGGGTGAAGGCAAATGTGGACTTCTAAGGGAGGGATTTGGGACGGGAGGGTGTACTGCAGCATCGTTGATGCATCTTGGTTTCACTCTAGCCCTTCTCCTCCTCCTCCTGCTGCCTGCTCCCTCCCCCCTCGCTGCCAGAAAGAAAAAGAGAGAGAGAGAGAGAGAGGTGTCGGGGGCGGCCGGAGATTCCTTCTTTCCTGCCGCCCAATCTCAGCTGACTTCGTGGCAAGACTCCTGCACGAACGGGTAGTACCTGTCGAACAGGGCAATCGCGAGCCCTACCGCCACCGCGCCCTCCGGATCGGCCTTGCCGTCGGCCTCCCGGCTGGTGGCGTTCAGGCCTGCCCCGTCCCTCTGCCAGTGGTCCTCGAACTCCCACAGCTGCGCAGCGAAGAGGGCGTCCGCGCGACCCTCGCCGGCGGCGCTCACGAGGGGGGGTGGCGCGAAGGGGGGGGCGGACATCCCAGGGGGCACAAGGGGGGCTCTCAAAAGACAAGGGGCCTCCTCAGAAGGGCCCTCGGGCTTCCGAGACGGCTCCGTGGAAGGTGGGATGGCTTCGTAGAAGCCGCCTCATGCTGCTCCTCCTCCTGCTCCTCCTCCGTGGAAGGTGGGATGGCTCCGTGGAAGGTGGAAGCCACTTGTCTTCTGAGAAGCTCCCCCGCCCTCGTAGGAGGCCGCTCCCCTCGCGCTGCCCCTGCGCGCGCCGCCAACCTCGCTCAGGCCGGCGCCTCCGCGCTTGCGCACCTCCGCAACCACGGCGTCCATGGCGATCTTCCAGCGCGGCCGGTAATAAGTGGCAATGAGGCCTGCCCACAGGCGCGAGCTGCATCGGCTGCGCGCAAGAGTGACCCTAGTCAAGAGTGCGCGTGTGTGTTTGTCGTTGCTGTTGCGGTTGCTGTTGTGTGTGTATATGGGGGGGGCGCCACTGCCTTACGCCACTCTGCCCTCGGGCCGCTTGCCAGGGCGTCGTTTCCCCCCTCGGTCTGCTGGTGGACCCAAGTTCCCGCGGTCTCTTGGTCCTCCATCCTGGGCGGCTGCCATTATCTCTTCCGTGCTGCGCCCCGCTTGCTGCTTCGGCTTGGCACTGTCGCACTGCTTCGTCTTTCCCCTCTCCCTTCATTTCCTGTTCGGCCCGTCTGTCCCCTCACGGCCGCCCCCCTCCGCGACTTCCGCTGCCGATCCCCTGTGGGGGGCTCCAGATTCTCCCCGCTGCGTGAGCCGGGCCAGTGTGCGCGCTTGCTCGACCTGTTCTACGCAACGCCGCCGCGTGCGTGGCCCTCATGCCAATGTTCCCAATCGGAGCTTGCCTCTGTAGGGGTCCTAGCGGATTCATTCCCCAATCAGAGCTTGCCTCTGTAGGGGTCCTAGCGGATTCATATGGTTAGGTTAGGCTTGCCGCCGATTTTCGCCGCACGCCCGGGTGCCCGGGTGCCCAGGGGTGCCTAAGTGCCCGGGGGTGCCCGGGTGCCCAAGGGTGCCCGGAGGTGCCCAGGAGTGCCTGGAGGTGCCCCGGGGTGCCCGGGTGCCCCCGGATGCCCGGGTGCTCTATCGCCTTATACCCCTATAGCTCTGTAGCCCTATATCCCTTTAGACATACAGACCTATAGCCCTATAGCCCTGCAGCCCTATAGCCCTAATAGCCCTAATAGCCCTATAGCGCTATAGCCCTATAGTCCTTATGCCCTATAGCCTGATCGCCCTATAGCCCTATAACCCCATAGCCCTCATATGCCTATAGCCTTATTGCTTTGTAGCCCTATAGCCCTATGTTCCTATAGCCCTATAGTCCTATGTTCCTATAGCCCTATGGTCCTGTAACCGTATAGCCCCATAGCCCTACAGCCCTAAAAATATTATGATTAGGGTTATATCCTCGGGTATCAATGATTAGGTTAGGTTTGCCGCCGATTTTCGCTGCACGCCCGGGTGCCCGGGTGCCCGGGGGTGCCCAAATGCCCGGGGGTGCCCGGATGCCCAGGGGTGCCCGGAGGTGCCCAGGGGTGCCCGGAGGTGCCCGGGGGTGCCCGGGTGCCCCTGGGTGCCCGGGTGCTCTATCGCCCAATAGCCCTATAGCTCTATATCCCTATAGACCTATAGACCTATAGACGTATAGCCCTATAGCCCTATAGCCCTATAACCCTATAGCCCTAATAGCCCTATAGCCCTGTAGCCCTATAGCCCTGCAGTCCTTATGCCCTATAGCCCAATCGCCCTATAGCCCTATAACCCTATAGTCCTTATAGGCCTATAGCCCTATAGCCTTATTGCCTTGTAGCCCTATAGCCCTATGTTCCTATAGCCCTATAACCCTATAGTCCTATAGCCCTAGCCCTATGGTCCTATAACCGTATAGCCCCATAGCCCTAAAAATATTGTGATTGGGCTTTTCTGTGGTATCATATATTCCCCAATCAGAGCTTGCCTGTGTAGGGGTCCTAGCGGATTCATTCCCCAATCAGAGCTTGCCTCTGTAGGGGTCCTAGCGGATTCATATGGTTAGGTTAGGCTTGCCGCCGATTTTCGCCGCACGCCCGGGTGCCCGGGTGCCCGTGGGTGCCCCGGGCCCAGGTGCCCGGGGGGTGCCCAGGGGTGCGCGGGTGCCCGGGTGCCTGAGTGCCCGGGTGCCGGGGCGTGCCCGGGGGTGCCCAGGGGTGCCCTATAGCCCAATAGCCCAATAGGCCTATAGCCCTACAACTCTATAGCCCTATAGCTCTTTAGCCCTTATATCGCCCCCTAGCCCTGTAGCCCTGCTTGGGGTTTTTCTCCGGTATCATGTGTGTGTGTGTGTGCTTGTGTCTGCGTCGGCTTCCCCCGAAAACGAATCAACCCCGAGGTGATCACAGCGAACGGCATCAGAGCGCGACCGCACGAAGCACCAGGTCGCTGGCCCCGGCTTTGCGCAAAAAGTGATCGTGTTTTGGGAGGAGGGGGCTGGAAGGACACAGGGTACGACTTTGAAATAAGCACTTTCAATATACGCGGCAACATTGCTGATACACGCAGAGGGCATCTATACACCACCGCCTTGCCAAGCCAGGGTCGTCCTGGCCCTGGCACGGGTCTATACACCATCTCAGCGCCCAGGATGGCCCTGGCCTGGCACGGTGGTGATGTATAGATGCCTTCGTCGGGTGATATGATCATGTCTCCCAGCCCCATCCTCCCAACACTATAACTTTCTTTCTGAGTTTGGGGGGCCGCAAGGGCGTGCCAACCCGAGCGCGAGCAGACCACTGCCACCAGCGGAGACCCCTGCGGGCCCGCGCCGGTGGCCCCTCCTTCGAAGGGTCGCTCCCGCGAGCGGCCGGCTGTAATCGGCAAGCGTCCCCGCCGGGTGCGGGCCCCAGAGCGTCAACAAGTTGCGCGCGTTGTGGGCGTACTGCTGCCTCTCCGCCTGGCCGCTGGCGAGCGCCTCGGCGCCGCCGAGCCTGAAGGGGGCACAGGACATACATAGATTGGCGCGAATTCTAAGTCTTTCAAATAATCTTCCAAATTTTCCAAATTGTCCTCTCCCCCCCCACAGATCCCCCAAACAGTGTTTGCACGGAAAGGTTCTTACGCCTGTTCTAAAGAGCTGGCCTGTGTCTTCGGTCTGGCGGCTTTGTGGCCGCCGTAGCGCCCCGCCGCCGCCCCGCCGCCGCCGTTGGATTGCACGAGGAAAAACCGCACCTGCGATGCACTGTTTGATCGCTCGCAACATAGACTGTGTACCTCATGAGTTTGACATTTTTTTCTCTAAAAAGAAGTTAAGACCTACCACCCCCCCCGAAGCTGGGATTATCGACTCCCCCGTGGGGATGTGCAGTTTACATATATTACTGCCCCATCCTTTATTTTAAATATGAAGTCGTACCATTCCAACCAGGAAAAAGGCTCGACCCCACCCCCACCATCCTGTGCAGCAGCACTTTCCGACCACTCTCGCTTGTCACGAACAATCAGTTTTCAAAACCCCCCTCCAACATAACAGAAAAAAAGCAGGGGCGAAGGGCACACGCGCGCGTCGTCGCGCGCGCATGCCAGAATCCCTTGAACAGTGCAGGTTTCGCAACAACTTTCGAATCGAGTGTCCTGACACATATATATATAGAGAGAGAGAGAGAGAGAGAGAGAGAGAGAGAGAGAGAAAAAAAAAAAAAGACAGAGAGAGACAAATACGGCTGTGCAACGTGACTGCGCGTGCGCTCTTGTGATCTCTTACGACGACCAACAGCTTTTGCATCCAAGCGGGCCTGTCGCGCGCGTGTCGAAATCGTTCGACCGCCCTTGCGCGCGCGCGGGGGGGGGCATGCAGGCCTCTCGCGTCCGCCGGCCGCGCGCGCATTTCGAACGCCTTCCAACATGTTCCCAACATTTTCACCACCGACACGTGGACACCATCATCGTCATCGGCGTGGTCAGCATCGGCGCCGTCAGTGACCTTGCTGTCGTGAACGTCATCGTCGTCGCCGCCGCCATCGCTACTATCATCATCGTGTCAGCCGCTGTCGGCGTCGTCATGGTACCGCGCGCGCTTGAATCACTCGCACTGAAGTACCCGCGCCTCAGCGCAGCCTGCGAAACGCGCTGAAAAGTCCCACGAGGTCAGCGCCACCCCGGCTGCGTCGGTCGCGCCAGGCTCGGTGGCCGCTCTGCGCGTGAGCCTGCGCGCGCTGGCGCGGCCGCAGCGATGCGCCAGCAAACGCAAAGCAATCATCGCTGTCGCCGCCGCTTGCGTCTTGCAAACCCAGTTGCGTTTGGGTGAGTGGGATGATTGCGCGAGCAGTGGGGCTGACCATGTCAAAGCCTGCAGGATGAATTGCGCCACGTAGGCTGTGTATCAGATGTTGAACAACCACGATTCTTCACTTTTCCAAACAAGGAATGAGGATCTACCGCCCCCCCCGAAGGCGGGATTATCCGCCCGTTTTTTTCGTATTGCAATTCAAATCTGTTTCAGCACCCAAGCCCCATGTTAAAAATGAATTCATATCGTCCCAGCCTGACCGCTATTGACACCCCGCGCCATCATTTACAACAAATACTATGCGCGCGCAGTCGTTCGTCAACAAAAAATAAGTTTTCAGTAGTCCCTTGCACGAGACGGGACGGCGCGCACACGCGCGCGCCGTCGCGCGCGCATGCAGGAATCCTTCGACAACCTTAGGTGTCGCAAAGCTTTCAAAATCGAATGCCCCCCAAACGCATTAAAAAAACACATGGTTTCGCACCGGCAGTTCCCGAAAAAGGTCAGCGCGCGCTTTTGCGAATGTTTAAGAAAACCATCGTTCTCAACACTTTAATCAAAGTCGACCAAACAGACTTGTCGCGCGCGCATGGCATGTTCATTCGAACGGCCTTGTGTGCGCGCGTGTGTGTGTGTGTGTGTGTGTGTGTGTGTGTGTGTTGGGGCATCCTTATCAAATCGTACCATGCGCTCCACTTGCGCGCGTCGGCCGCGCGCGGCGCGGAGATGCGCCGGCGAGCGCCATGCTCTCATAGCAATCATCGCCACATGGTTGAGCAAACCAAGTTGCGGGTGGGTGGGTGGGGAAATTGCGCGAGCAGTGGCATATAGTGCTCTGAGTTTTTTTGCAAAGTGAAATTGGACCATTTCTATGTGTGCATGTATGTATGTATGTATGTATGTATGTATGTATGTATGTATGTATATGTATGTAGTGTGTATATATATGTACATTTTTGTGTATACATGTATATATGTGTAGGTGTATATATGCACATACACATATATAAGTTTACATGCACATGCTATATATATATATATATATATATATATATATATATATATATATATATATTCTCCCCTACAAGAATAATGAAAACGACCTCCCTTCTCCCTAAACTTAACGGGTCCCCTGTTCGTCGTTTTCAATAGGTGGTTCTGCGCGCGCGTCCATCCGGAATATTTTCATATTGTCCCAGGCGTTCCGGTTATCGACCCCCCCTTAGCCTCTGCACAAACACGATGCGCGCGCTCGTTAATCGAAAACCACTCTTTATGTCGCTATGATAAGCCTCCCGCCCGCGACTCGCACTGAAGCGTCCGCGCGTCAGCGCGGACTGTGAGACGCGCTGGGTTGCCCCCGGCGGTCAGCGCCACCGCGGCCGCGTCGGTCGCGCCAGACTCGGTGGCCGCTCTGCGCGCGAGCGTGCGCGCGCTTGCGCGGCCGGGGCGACGCGCTAACCAGCGCCAGGCAGACGTCGCAATTGGCGCCTCATGGGTCTTGCAAACCAGATGGCGGGTGGATGGGTGGGATGGTTGCGTGAGCAGTGGGGCTGACAACCCACTGCCTAAACCAATTGCACAACATACATAACATCACGTAAATTGCATCGTATGTGCAGAGCATCGACATAGATTGCCCAATATTTATTGCGCAAGTCAGAATCTCGATGATTTTTTTGTTAGAAAATATTAGGACCTCACTCACGGTCTTATCGGTCGGTCTTATGGTTCTGACCCATCGTTCGCCCTAGATATGAAGTCAAACCATCCCAAGACAGCCGGTGTCGCGCCCCCCCCCCCCCCCTCGGTTTCCGGTCAAAAACCAATGCGCGGGCGCTCGTGCTTCAAGCGTTAACAGTTTCCAAAACAAAAAACACCATGCAACATATGAGACGAGAAGTGCACGCGCGCGTGCCGAAATTCGTCAAAAATGCTCAGGTATCGAACAAGGTTTTTTTTTTTATCCGAGTGCCCCAACAACATATGGAAACACATGGTTTCGCAACGAATAGTTGAAACAATAACAAGTCTTAAGAAACCCGCGGGCTTTTCAACGCTTTCATGACGTGCTACCAGATGGGCCTCTTTTGCGCGCGTGTCGGAATTTTCGAACGCCCTTGCGCGCGTGCTGTCGCGAGAATCCAGAGCAACAGTTGGGGCGAAGTGCGCGCGCGCGCCGTCGTGCGCGCGCGCCGAAATCATTCAAGACTTGAGGCTTCGTAAGGATGTCAAATCGAATGCCCCGGTAACATTTTTAAACGCACGTGGTTTGCCAACCTCAATCTTCAACAGACAAACTGCGCTCGCGCTCTTGTGAACTCCAAGACACAATATGCTCTTCGTGATTCCATTCAATTCGGCCAAACGGGCCTTTCGCGCCGCATGTCGACATCATTCGGACGCCCTTGCGCGCGTGCTGGGGTGCGCGGCGCGCGTCAAATCGTGTCATGTGGGTAAATCTCGCGCATCGACCGCGCGCTTGTCGAACTCCTACCAAAACCTTCATCACTGACGCGAAGGCGCCGTGATCGTTATCGGCGGGCGCAATCAACATCGGCGCCGTCATTGGCCCTGCCGTCGTCGTCGCCACCATCGCCACCATCATCGCTACTCGCGTCGTCGTGTCTACCGCTGTCGGCGTCGGCATGAAGCCGCGCCCACCCAAGTAACCGACTCGTACTGAAGTGCCCGCATCATGTGCCCGGCGGCTAGCGCCGCCGCGGCCGCGTCCGTCGCGCCGCACCAGCGCGTCGCTGCGCGCGCGAGCATGTGCGGGCTAGCGCGGCCGCAGACATGCACCCGCCAACGCCAGGCGCTCATCGCAGTCGCCGTCGCGTGGGTTTTGCAGACCAAGTTGCGGGTGGATTGGTGGGGTGCGCGCGCGAGGAATGGAGTTGGTAACTTCAAGTTCAGCAGGGTGAATTGCGCCGCGGAGATTCTTGTCCCGACGAGAATAAGAAGAACTACCCCCCCTGGGACTTAACGGCCCCCATTTCGCGTAGTGCAATTTATGTGTGGATCTGCCCCGTCGCCCATCCTAAACGTGAGCTCGTGCCATGCCATGCAGGCTGGGATCGCCCCCCCCCCCCCCCCCCCCCCCCCGCTTCCCCCCCTTGCGCGCGCGCGCTCGTTTATCAAAACCACCTATTTGCAAGCGTCCCCGACGAACAAATGGGGCGACATGCTCGCGCGCGTCGTCGCGAGCGCATGCCGCAATCCTTCGATCGCGTTTTGTAGGGATTTCAAAATCGAGCGCCCCGAAAACATCTAAAACGCATGTGTTATCGCGACGATTTTTTCCAAACAAGCCTGCGCTTGCGCTCTTGCGCATTCTTGTGGGCAAGCTAGGTATTCGCAAGTTTCATGACATGCTGACAATAAGGCATCTATCTATTTATACGTGTGTATATAGAACGCTCTCATCAAAGTCGGCCAGACAGGCCTCTCGTGCGCGCAAGGCGCAATCGTTCGAACGCCCTTGCGCGCGGGTTCTTTTCGTTGGGGGCAGGGCGTCCTTGTCGCATGATGCCATGCGTTCGACTCGCGCGCGTCGACCGCGCGCGCGTCGAAAACCTTCCAAAACCTTTATCGCCGACGCGAGGGGGCCGTCATCGTTATCGGTGGGCGTGATCAGCATCCGGGCCGTCGCTGGCCTTGCCGTCGTCACCCTCATCATCGTCACCATCACCGTTACTATCA